CACAGTAGGCTCTTCCAGCATGTTCTCAAGGTGCATAACTTGGTCAGGGAATTTGGGATTAGAAATGAGTTATTATATTGCTACTTTCTCAAACTAAGTAAAAACCCACAACACTAAATATGATCCTGAACAACGTTTAATCTCTTTTGTTTCGGAAGACACTTTAGATCTTGAAGAGCTTTAGGGTTGGACCTTTGCTGGTGACTCCTTAGGGTGCTGAGTGGAGGGACAAAGGGACTGCTGGAGGGGAGGGGCATGGGGCATGGGAGCGGCATGAGGCGCTCCCGCTCTGATCTCAGTTCTGTTACTAAACAGCAGAGTGATCGTGATGAGTCACTTCCCTTCCCCAACAGGGTGGGATTAGAGTGTCTCTAAGGCCCCTCCCAGCTCTGATATTCTATGAATAATTAGCAGAGAATGCACTGTGCTGATTTTCCATAGGAATTGAGGAAATTGAAAAACAACTTGCAATCCTGTAGACAAAGGCCTGTAAGAGTCCCTTGGTATTTACAAAGCCTCTGGGCTTGGGCTCCCATCTCACTGTTGGCCCAGCCCTGGGGTCACTGTGCAGACTGAGATCCGGAGCAGGAAGGATAGGCACATCAGAGTCAGGGACCACCATAGTTTATTACTGAATTTAACAAGCCCACAGACAAGGCCCTCCCCAGTGGAGGTGTGCAGTGTGGGCACTCATCCTGACTTCTCAGGCCAGCAAGAGCTCTCCTGGTATCAGTCAACCAAGAGTTTTCAGTGACAGGGCTGTGTCTGGTCCTTGGAACTGGGGACAGTGAGAAGGCAGCAGATGATGAGATAACAAACCAACTCCTCTTGGCCGCAGGCCCCTATCCAGGAGGCCAGAAGTGAGAGGGGAATCCAGCAATGTCTGTGCCAGTCTCCACCCACTGCAGGGGTTCTGGAAGACCCCCATTTCATGTGATCCTGCATTTGCCTAGTGTCACGGGTACATCCACTGTCCCATTTGACTTTTTTTTTCTCAGGCTTAGCCACCCCTCTGCACTCAGTTCTGGCTTGGCTGAACTCTACCCGGTGTAAGAAAGTTTCCAGCAAGTGAGGAATTCTGAGCAATGACTCTGTGTCATATAAATAGCTTCAGTGATAGCCACAGCCTATACCACACACACACACACCCCTGTGGAAATCATCTTCAGGGTGGTTCACACAGGCACTCATTGGTACAGCCACTCTGAATATAAATGTGTGCTCTAATCTCTCCCTCGGAGAGAAGACCCTGCAGAGAAGCCGACCACTGCCCAGCCCCTGACTTGTGAGGTGGGGAAGACTCAGTGGAGCCCTGGGTCTCCTCTCGAATAACGGGGTGTGGGAGGGGTTGTGTGGGGGGGTGCTGGTGGCCAGTGCCTACTTCTTCAACAGGCCCAGCTTCTTGAGAGCCTCCCTTCTTTGTTCATCAGACACGCCTTTTGGGGAGATCTTGACACTGACACAGGGGGGTCGAGGCAGCCTGTCACGGCTCTGTCCTTGGTAGGACAGGCGCTTGGAACCCAGCTCATGCTCCGGGTTGGCCAACTTGCCCACCTGGATACCCTCTAAGTCCTTCCTGGTGCCCAAGGAGGCCGGGCGCGGCCGGGAGTTTCGCAAGACGTTGGGTGAGATCTTGTCCAAGAAGGAGCCTTTTCCCAGAGAGGTGCTGGTTTTGGGGCTGCAATCTTTCTCCGCTGAGAGGTAGCTGCTCAGCCCCACGCCTGAACGCTCCAGCGTGTTGGACTTGAAGTTCATCTGTCTCAGGCCAGGGATGCCGCTCTCCTGGAGAGTCAGCCCAGAGTCTGGCTTTGGCTGAGTCAGGGGACTATTTGCCCGTGGGGCCTTAGGGATAGGAATTGGCATGGATTTGTCAGCTGGAACTTTCCCTGGAGTGGGTTCCTGGGCGGGAACCAAAACGTTGCCTGGAGAAGATGGCTGAGCTGGAGCCGGACCCGGAGCTTTCACTGGAGAAGGTCCCCGCATTGGTGCAGGTGCTGGAGCCTTTCCTGTCACTGCTGAGACCTGAGCTGGAACCACAGGTGGAGCCGGAGCCGGGGAGGGGGCCTGAGTGCGAGTCTCCCTGAACCTGATGGAGGGCCTACTTAAGTGGGCGCTGGCCTCATCTTGGTCCTGGGGCAGCCCCAGCTTCTCCAGCGCTTCCCTGCGTGCTCTCCTCTGCTCCTGCAGTGATGACGAGGTGGGGCCCGAGTCTCCAGGGCCAGCCTCCGAGTGGCAAGACAGCCGGTTCTGGGGATCACTGTGGAAACCACCCCGGCTGCTCTTCAGAACAATATTTGCTGGCAGCTTCCGTGGCTTAGGGGCTGTGAGGGGAGCCAGCCGGGCATTTGGACCCCCCTCTGATGGGACAGGAACATCTTCATCTTTTGCATTCTGAGAGGACACAGCTGGAAGAGGCCGAGGTTGTCCAGGTTCCCCGGTTGAGCCTTCCTCATTGGCTTTCTGGGACATGGCCTCTGAAGTGGTCTCTCTTTTTTGCTGGAGGCTGAGTGATGTGTGGACCTGGGGCCTGGGCCTCAGCTCCCCTGGCTGTCTGGGCTGGCCGTGTTGCCCACGCTGCTCTGGCTGGGTGTCCCGGAAGGCCTCTGGTGGGGGAATGAAGGCCCTGTCCAGATCAAGGGCAGCGTCCCCGGGGCCCGTTGGTGTCTTGGGGGGCTCCCTGCTCTGGCCCACCTGCTCTTTCTCAGGCCCTGGGACAAGCCCGTCAGATACCCCTGGGATGTGGCTGTTAGTCTGTGTGGTGCTTTTTCTGAGGATTTGGTTTCTGCCGATGTGGATATTTCTGGGAAGGCTGCAGGAGCCAGACCTGAGGCCCAGGCTTTGAGGCTCGGGCAGATGAGACAAGCTGAATGGAGTCACTCTTTTTGGCTCCGTTCCTTGCTGAACGGTCTCTTTCGGATGTCCTGTGAGGGTCGGGAGAACAGGCAAAGAAGAGTGCGTGATGAGAACCCTGCTGCTGGGGGAAAGAAAACACCTCCCAAACTCTGATCTCTAATTAGCAATGGATGGGTTTTATTTTTTGTTGTTTCTTTGCTCTTAAAGGGCAGCACTCTTGTTTGGATGTCATTTAGACTAACAGATCAGTACTAGCAGTTTCCCTTCAACCAAGGATTAATGTCTCCTGATGGCTGGGGAAAGGGCAGCCCCAGACAGCTCCATGTTCCTGACTCAGGCTCTTTCTAACCCTCTACAGATGCAGGGCTGGTTGGGGCTCAGGACAGTCCCTCCAGCTATCCTGGGGCCCTCAGGTAACTGAGCCCAGTGGGAGCATTCAGCATGAACACGGTCAACAGGTGATTTGCTCTTGCCCGATCAGGCTTCTGCCTTCTTCTGCCTTCACTTTCTATAGGCACCTGGATGATTCTGTAACAGCCACAGCTGTCCCCACACCAGAGTGACAGGGGCTCTTTTCTTCCAGCAAGTAAGCACATGTATCAGGCTCACTGGACCAGGAAATCAGCACCAGGCAGCAGAGGAAGCCCCATGTCCCCACTTCCTCCTCTATCTCAGGGAGGGTCTAACACATTGTCAATAAATATTTGCTAAATGAATGAATAAGTGATCACAGTCCTGATACCAATGGGTCTGTCTTCAGGAGTAAAACGCCCCCCTCACCCTGGGGCATATGGCCCTGCACTCATGGCCACACTTACGTGTCGTCTTGTTTCCCGTCTACTGAGCCTCAACGCCACTCCATACTCTCTCACAAGGCCCTTGAGACGTCACCCACTGAAGTTAAGGGAGCCCTTCCCTCTTCTTATCTCCTGCAGCCTCATCCTCTGGGTCACCCAGATTAGCTCCACAGACTGACTTAGTTTTTCCAGAGCCAACCACCCACCCCTCCCTGAATCTCTCCCTCACCTCTGTGGTCATATTTCTTTAGAATTTCTCCATAAGAGGATGGGTGCTGGTCAAACCCCTTTCCCTCCCAGGCCTCTGATACTTCATAGAAAGACATAGAAGGCTGGCTTGTCGGCAGTCCCTCCTTCCCTGCAGGGACAACAAGGCTTTATTCCAGCCATGAGAATGCAGAGGAGAACATCTGTTCCTTCTTCTGCCTGTGACCCTTAGAGCAGAGGGCAGACAAGATGGAGAGTGGCCAGAGGATGTACTGCTTTTTTGGGGGGTTTATTTTTATTTTTTATTTTTTTGCCTCACAGCATGTGGGCGGGATCTTAGTTCCCTGACCTGGGATCGAACCCGTGCCCTCTGCAGTGGAAGCACAGAGTCCTAACTGCTGGACCTCCAAGGAAGTCCCCTTTTTTGATTTTTTTAGACACTCTCTCTTACCCTGGGCGGCAGGCTGGGTCGTGGGCAGTGTTCGGGGACCTCGGGGAGTTGTGGTTTGCCCAGACTTGTCAGTGGACAGTCCACTGTCAGCCTCGGTGTCCAATGAGCCAATGGTTTCCTCTAAGAAGAGCAGACACTCCTTCTCTTCAGCAGACAGGAAGTCGTAGCTGCTGTCACTCTAGAGCGAGGAGAGGGCACTGTAAGAGGTAGCTCGGCAGAAACCGGCGGGACCCGAGAACCACCCTGCACTGGGAAGGTTTGCTGAAGAGCTGGGAACCTCTCCATCATACCACTCTGCAGACCTGCTGGAGCTGCTTGCTGAAACTGCAGGCACCAAGGAGGGCAGAGACTGTCGGGCTGCTGTCCCACTAGCACCCAGCTGGGCAGGCAGATGGCAAAAGACCTTTCTTTTGTTCACTCCTGGGTGGAATGCTTAGGCGCAAAGGTCAGAAGCTGTCCCAGGTTCTAATTCCACTTCTTCTGTGTGACCTATGTCAAGTATCTCATTTCACACGTCTCCAATGTTGTTCTAAACTATATGGGCAACATAATGATTTGACCTTAAACTTGAATGATATTGCTTTTAACTTTTCAAAGTACTTATGCATTCTTGATCTGGTATGTCAAGGACAGTATGAGGACAAACAGGAAAGACAGCCAATTTATCATGACTAGTCACAGATAAATTTACTAAATAATTTATACTTGACTTTGAAATGCATTCCATACAGGATTTTTTTCTCCCTTGTTTATTTACTTTCTTGATAGCATTTGGCTCTGGCTAACATTCAAAAAAGTGTGCATTTATTTCTTAAGCAAATATTAACTTAAGGGAGGAAGGTGGAGAAACTGGTATGGGGTGAGGGGAAAGCAACTTAGTATTAAATATTAAGTAGAAATTAAAATAAATAATTTTCATTATGAGAAAGCACATAGGAGTGTTTGGGAGAACAGGTGAGGCCATTTCAGATGGTTACTGCCTATGTTCTACAAGACCAGGAAGATCCATGGAATAATCACTCTCCAAAGTTGAAGGTTGAAGGGAGGACCAAAAGGGCAGATGGGAATATAGGAAATTTGGCCTGAGTCCCTTCCTGCCATCTCTACCCCTCTTCCTAATATTTGACATACTTCAGAGTTATATATTTTCCAGACCCATTCAGATGGCCAGGAAAGATTTTGAGAAAGCCCTAAGAATATCTTAGGGGGAGGGGAGATGGTTGTTGGAATAACTTCTCCAGTTCCCCAGGCTCCTTAAAGAATCATCTGTCAGTTGATTGAGGGAGGCTTACATTGTAAAGGGAAGTCCCGAATACAGCCCTTGGAAGCCTTGATGCAGACCCCAGAGGTTCCCTAAACAAAACCTTCTCTACTGCCCTCTTCCTACTAAAATAGTCTTCCAATTCTGAATTTCTCCTTTATGGATGATTCACTCTGAAAACCTTTAATCCCTGTCACATTCTGTGTCCAGTGGTATGTAACTACTCACGTTGGCCTCTGCTTAACAGAAACTGAATGTGGTCTGTGAGGCCCCATCATCTAGGGTTAAAAAGAAATTATCTACAGATTGTCTGCACTTTAGTTTCCTTGTGTGTTTTGTGCTGCTTTTTCTACTTCATTTTTACATATCAAAACTCACCGACTATATCAAACATCTTTGACATTCAGTAGAGATCATTACGATCCTTAAATTATCAAATACCTCTGCGTATAGGATATAGAACAATAAAGTATAAATTCTCAAGGGTTATTATGTATGTGATGAGTACCCATAACAAAGGAATGCTTACATTTGGACATAGGACAGATTTACTCTGTCACACCAACCTTATAAGAATTGAGATTTAAATTCATGCCCAGAAAAATTACAGTTTATTACATGTCACTCACAAATAGTTAAACACAGTGACTTTGGAAGATTCTCAGTCTCTACTTACAGATAGGCTATTTCTTTTCTACATAGAAGCACATGCTAAGTGCTTTACATGCATTTCATTTACTCACCTCAAGAGCCCTATGAATTTGGTATTAATATTATATGCCCATCTTAAAACTGAGACTGAAGCTTAGAGAAATTAAGTAATTTGCCCAAGGTCATAGAGCTTATAAGTAGAGAACCCAGATCTGTTTGGCTCCAGAACCCAGGCTCTTAACTGCTCTGTGCTCTTTGATCTTTGTAAAAGACGGAAGTAACGCTGTTCTTTGCAGAGGACTTCAGGAATCCACGTGCTACAAGGACCTACGTTCTAGTTTCCACCGTGACCTCAGATCACTGACCCACTCTCTCATCTCAATTAAACCACCCAACCTAATGAAAACTGGGAAAAACTCTCATTTGTCCTATTACTCTCTGGGGTTGTCCCACTCTATTCTCTGTAGAACCAGGGGTGACTCAGAGGCAGAATACCAACTGGTGTGATTCACTCCCTGACAAGGAAGATGAAAGACAAGGAGCAGTGAGCAAGGGTGGTGGTGGGTAGGGCAGGGCAGGGCAGGGGTGCGGAGAGCGGGCCAGGTTGCAGACAGAGAGTACATACAGATCCAGAGAGGGTGGAGGTGGTGCTCATCATGCTATCGCAGCTGCCAATGCGGGTCACGGGTTCCAAGCCAGGCCCTGCTGGCCACAGCTCTCTCTCGGGCATCGCCTGAAGCAAGGTGCAGGGGTGGTGAAAGGGGCTCTCAGAGGGGAAGCGAAGGGAAGTGAAGAATGTCCCAGGCCGGGCCTGAAAAGAGAAGAATCAAAGCCACGTGTGAGCTGAGCCAGGCTCCAGCGAGCCTCTGCCCAGGCCCTGGAGCAGCATGGCGGCTGGGACACCAAGCAAACAGAGAGCTGGAAGGGGCCATGCTCAGCCATGACCCAAACCCAAACCCCCAGCCTGCAGGGGGACACATAGCTGGACATGTAAGGACACATAAGCTGGCTTACATACATGCAGAAGGTCAGACTTAGGTGGTGGAGAAGCAGTCTAGTCAGAAAAGAGATTCCATCATTTCTCCTGGTCACGTTTTTTCTCTGAACCAGAGAGCTTAACCTACATTTTCATTACTATAAACACTACGTATTACAGGGGTTAAAGCCTGGGTTCTGGAGGTAGCTGGATCTGGGTTCAAATTCTAGTTCCACCATTTAAAGTGTTGTGACAAGGCAAATTACTCTTTGAATCTGTTTTTCTTCATTAAATAGGGTTAATAGTAAGACTAAATGAGAACAGACAGCACAGTTTAGTTTGTAGTAAGTAAGCAAACACTTAAGGAATAAATGAGTAACTACTACTGTTTTTGTAATAAGAAAAAGACAAGATCCATCTCGGATCAAAGTAGACTGAAACAAGGGAAATAAAAGCTTTTTTTAAAAAAAAAGGAACAGGGCCCGTAATAGTACCTACCTTAAAGGGTTTTCGTGACTATAGAATGAAATACTCCATGTAAAACACTTTGTGCAGTGCACGGCCCTGTAACTGTCAGCTGCTACCATAGCCACATCATCAGCACCATCACAAATGACCCCCACCCCAGCCACCGTCATCCCCCTAGTCTGGGAGGGATGTGCATGGCACCCCAGTGGTTGACGGAAATCCAGTTTCCCTCTTGTGCATCACCCTCCTGACGTTGCACTTATTCCCAATGAGATTCCCTAATCTGTGTCAAATGAACAAGAGCAATGTTCTAGGTAGCTTTCTCCCAACTCCAACTCATAGGGAAAGAACAGTTTCAAGTTCATCGTGCCAATAGAAATAGCAAAGGAAGGTAGTGCCATCCTCCTTCAGGAAATCCCAGGGATTTTCATATTCCTGTTTGTGGGAAAAACTCCACCAGAGCTGGAAAGGCCAAAGGTGACTCTCCTATGCTAAAATTAAATTCTAGAAGAATTAAGATTAAAAGACAGTTCTAAGATCAAGTAGGAACCTGGGGGAAGAGCTAGAATTAGAGTATACTTTGTCTGAGTCTGAATGCATATTTCCCCCACAACGCCATGCTTTATTTTCTACCATCTTTCCCACCTTCTGAATACTAGGTAAAATGTCCTGGAAAATTGGGTTTTATTTGAGACTTGGGGTTTAGATTCCAGGGCAGGTTATCTTTTTTGCCTCTGCCAATAATTGCTTCCAGTGCCAAAGTCAGGTTTGGGCTGTGCTGGGTGAGTCAGTCTGCCAACCACCTAGAGCTGACAAACACAAGGCCTCACAGAGCTCCCCTCATGCTTGGGAGGAGACCTTCAACTGGGGCAGGTAGGGAGGGGGCAGGACAATGGGGAAGGAAGAGGTAAGATCCGCTATGGGCAAGACACATGTAGTTCACGTGGGTCCACAGCCTCTCAGGAGAGAGAGGGAGAACCAGAGGGGACAGAGATACCAAAGAAGCCCAGTGATAAATCAACATGGGGTAATATAACTCCTGGGATTCCTTCATGAGGTTAGTTCCCCGTTATCCAGAATCCCAAAGAAACAGAAATGTGAGAAGTCATGTGGATGAAGTTCAGTCACCTCAGCTATAGCCTCTCCATTAATGACTGTCTAGGTTCCAAAAGTACTAACTCATTCCTAACATTCTGAGGGTTGAGACCACTACAACAAAGAGGATCCATTTCTCGTTAGCCTAGGCACACAGAAGGCATTCAAAAAATGCTGATGAATAAACGTCATTTGTTCTAGTGTCTACTGAGTTGACACTAGAACTCAGTAGACATTAGAACTAGTTGAACTGTTGGAAGGTCTCTTTTTTTGGCTTCTACCCTATTACTGTAAGCTCTTTAAAAACATTTTTTTTAAATAAATTTACTTATTTTATTTACTGATTTTTTGGTGCATTGGGTCTTTGTTGCTACGTGCGGGCTTTCTCTAGCTGTGGTGAGCGGGGGCTACTCTTCGTTGCGGTGCGCGGGCTTCTCATTGCAGTGGCTTCCCTTGTTGTGGAGCATGATGGGCTCTAGGCATGTGGGCTTCACTAGTTGCAGCACACGGGCTTAGCTGCTCTGCGGCATGTGGGATCTTCCCGGACCAGGGCTCAAACCCATGTCCGGCAGGCAGATTCTTAACCACTGCGTCACCAGGGAAGCCCCATGTAAGCTCTTTTTTAATATTTTATTTCCCAGAAAATATATGGCTTAATGGAATTTGGGCAATGCTTTCAGTTACACTAACATTTATGAGTACCTAATAGGCATGGGGCATGCAAAACTTTGTTAAGACAAAGGTATTGTTTCCAAGAAGTCAGTGTAGATCCAAGGGTCTGTTTTTTTGGCTCTAGTTTTCCTATCTGTTACACTGGGGCAGTAACTATTAAAAGTGACGCACTGTAGAATGTTCTCTGTGAATGCAAGAGCAGATGCTGCCTTTCCCTTTCAGAGAAAAATGACTACCCTTGTTCTTCCAAGCACACTTCGGACTTTACAGTGGTGTGCTAGCCTTTCCTCCCTCCCAGGGCAGCCTAACACGTTCTCACTTTGGAACAAAGGATGGCCTGAAGCAGCTGGAAGAGATAGAAACAATATGAACAGCATTGCTTTAAAAAACATACCAGGGTATAGCTTACAAAGTGCTTTCAGATATGTTAATTCGGTTTTTAAAATTACCTGATACCTTAGGCAGGATGTGGCATTTTCTCCATTTGACAGATGCAAAAGCTGGGGCTCTTTCTACCTGCCCTTCCTATGGGAAGTAGGAAATGATTTATAACTGCATCTATTGGGCAGCCTGTGGCTCCCAGCCCTTCTAGAGGGCATTACAGCAGCTGTCCAGAGGCAAGAGGGCCAGGTACCTAAAGAAGGGCCACTGGCCACTTCTGACTAAACACTGAAAGCCCTAAGAGCACTCTTCTCTGATTCAGATTTATGCATCCAGGCCAGCTTTTTGTCCCCACAGTAGATATTTCCGGAATAAGGAAAAGACACCAAATGCCACTGAAGCTCAAGTCATAGGCACAACAAAATCACTGCAGAGATTAACCTGAACCTGAAACCAAAGCTGAAGGAGCTCTAAGGTGCTCACACCTCATCTCCACACCTAGTGTCCTGACCCTAAAAGTCTGAACCATGAAGACGTCTTCTCTTCTTCTCACCACTCTCTCCTTCCCTCACCAGTCTGACCTGACCTGGATGCTGCATTTCCTTCCACCAACTTTACAACCTTGAAACTTGGGGGCTATTTCAGGGCAGCCATTGAACCCTGAGGTATTTCTACTTGATAAGAAGCCTGAACAGCATGCAAAACACTCAAGGTGAGAGTTCTGTATTTTTTAACCCTTGACCTCTTTGGGCAGCTTGAGGGGAGGAGGGAATGGGTTAAGAAATGTGCACAGCCTATATCGGGGCCACCCATGCAAAGGCACATTAAATATTAACTACTCCCTGAAACCAGCCAAGACTTGGAGGAGGGTAAATAAATGGCGTGTGGAATTCTGGCATCTGGAGGGGGTGGGGTGGGAAGAGGCCTCCAGCTCCACTCCTGTTTGGCTTCTCTGTACCATCTGAACAGACCCAAGGCCCCCTTATCACCCTCTTCCTGTGAGCCCATTCCTATATCCTCCAAGAGCTGAGCTCTCTCCCCAGTGGTCGAAGAGGTTACCTGTTTCTCTTAGACCAGGTGCCTCTGCTTTTTGCTGACCACCCAAAATGTGCCTTGGGCTGGAGAACATCCTAAGGAAAAGGCCAAGAAGACTAAAAGTTGCACAAGGGCAATTTTCTGTTTGTGTTTAAGCAATGATATAATCTCCTCTTTCACCAGTGGGTTTGAGGGAGAGGGTGGGTGGAAATATCACCCGCACAGAAGAACTTTGCTTGACACTGCAGCTTACCTGTATCGCTGACAAGGTCGCCACGTATGGCAGCCCTCAGTCAGTGAGCTTGGCGGGCTGGTTCTGTGGTGTGGGCTGAGCTAAAGCCTAAAGCTAGGACGGAACCCAATATATTCACTCAGGGCTTGTGTGCCAGGCCTTGGGATCCTGGCACTGGGTCTTCCCACTTCCCTCTTTCTGGAAGCAGGAGGGGAAAGGGGAGAAGTTAGGGACCAGAGTGTTAATCCCCACAAGCTGGATGGCGGAGAGCTGACTTGCTACTCTGACTTGACTTCTACACCCAGCGTCCTTGTGCAGGGAATCCGGCCACACAGACTGCCAACTGGGACACCCGAAGGAAGTCAAAGCAAAACCACAACACTGGTCTGGTTCTCCTCTCTGGACTCTGCCACACTGCTTTGGCCTGAGCCCCACTCGGAATTCCTACTAGACTCAACATGCTACCGTGAAATATTAATGTAGGTGAGGCCCCGGCACAGTTGAGTAGCTTCCTGTTTGCCAGTCCCTGTGTCAGGCAAAGTCAGAAATTTAATGAAGCTGAACTCAAATAGGCTTGACTTTGCAACTAGAGTATCCTTGGGTTTTCCAAAGATGAGCTGGTAGCCTGAGCTGGCATTTTCCCAATGTAACCAAATCTCACACACCCTTACAAAAACATAGCACAGCTCACACCTTACACACCCATCCACAAAGAGCTCCATTATCACACTACCATTACTGAACACACACACACACACACTGCACCCTTCATTTAAATAACAATAGACATGGAGTTCATAAAGCCATGAGAAATTTGCCTGTTAGAATGGAAAACCAAAGCACTTTTCTTCCCCAAGCTATTTTCCATTTT